GCCTTTTTCTGGGAGTGGGGTGGGGAGGGCGAGTTGTTTAAATTCTAATTTAGGCTTTCCCTAGACTCCTACAGCCGCTAGGGAGAACTGACTACCCATGTCACAGGGGCCCAGGGTAAAAGGGAGACTCCTTGTTCAAAACCGTTAAGAGTTTCAAGACTGTGCCCGCAGCACATGAGAGCAAGTGCAGAGCTTCCTGCAAGCAGCCCCTGCAGCTGCACAGGTTGCAACCCCACAGAGCTGGCACGAGGTCTCTGGCCACCAGTTCCCTGGCAGCCTCCACAGAAGGACCCACAGCTGACTTACCATCCTTGGTGGTTCTTTTGAGTGGGATCGTGAGTTGGCTCAAGGCAGCCAACCTTTGAGTCATGTGCAGCCTTGCAAGAATGAAGTCATCTCCAGAGGAGAAAGCAGGCAGGGGAGACCTTCCTGGCTTTCTCCTTGCTCTGCCCCTTTTTGGAATGATCTCATGCTTCTTCAAAGCCCTGGGCTCCTGCTGACCCTCCCATGGCTCGCTCTCTGCACCAGGTTTAAACAGAAGAACCAAGTCAGCTGCTCTATCCCCTGGCAGGGTAATTCCCAGATCGTTTTTCCATCTACTGAATGTGAACTGGAGAGATGGTTCTTTCTCCAGCCAGCCATGCAATGGAAATTCCCTGTCAGTGGGAAGTATATAAACGGTTACAGGAAACCAGCTGTGCTCATGTGGCACTTTACCTTGGTTTCTGGAAACTACTACTAGCTACGGTCCCTGACACTTGTTCACCCCCTGGGCAGTCGCGAGTTGGTCACAAAGTTGATGTTCCCTGCTCACCAGCTATATTCTGGGAGCCTCCAGCTCTGCTTGCACTCAAGCTCTGTTGTCAGAGGTAGGGGTGTACGGTGGCACAGGACATCCTCTCTGACTTCCTCTTTACATTTTTGTTCAGTTGGTTTCACATCCTGGAAAGTGATGCTTCACAAAGGTGGTTTTTTGGGGTAGAACACACATGTATAAAGGTTAAGAGTAAAGTTTACTAATTTTTGCATCCTCCCCAGATCTGAGCCAGGACCCCACATCTAGGGCATTAACAAATGTTTACTGAATGAAATACTTACAAATCAACCAGGGCTTCAGAAATCTCAGATCAAATGATCACTGTATACACTCCTGGAGCGCGGAGGATGGGTCTGAGGTCGTAGAAGACCAAGCACGTGTGCTGACCATCAGATTCACCTGAGAGCTTCTGCGCGCTGGCTCACCGGGCTGCACACCTGACTTGTTAAACAAGGGCTCAGGGGGAGGGCCTGGCCGCAGGTATAAAGCTCTGTAGCTGCTCCAAGTGCACTGCATTTTCAAGCTATAGTGGCAGCAGCGGTGGCAGCCTGGTCTCTGCCTCACTGGCTCTCCACAGGCAGACTGCCAGGCAGAGTTTGCCGAAAGAACTTTCGAGATTCCGTTGGTGGGAGAAGAGCCTGGCTCCACCTGAGCCTGCAGAAGGACTGGCATTTTGGTTAGGAGGTTCAGGACAGTCTTTGGGTCAGCAATCCAACCAATGAAGGCTCCTGAGCCCCAGGGGCTATGCGCACCCTTTCTGCACATGGGCTGCACAGCCAGCACCACCACTGCCTGGACCAGGCTGGCCTGCTGTCCACAGTGACTGCAAGGAGCTAGGCCCTGAGCGCGTCCGAAGTCTTCTCCAAACTACTTACTGTAGGTAAGACTCTCTGAGCTTATGTAATACCTACCACATTATTAGGCAGAGGGCCTTCTTTTTTTTTTTTTTTTTTTTTTTTTTCTCGTTTCCTGACTGGCTTGTTTCACTTAGCTTGATCTCTTTCAGGTTCACCCACAGGATCAGACGGCAGGAGTGCTTTTCCTTAAGGCTGAGTAATCTCTGGGATGTGTTTGTGGGTGTATACACATTTTATTCACTCATCTAGCATCTGCATTTCTTTAACCTATTGTGAATATCAGTGTTAACGTGGGTGTGCAAATATTTCAAAATCCCAATTTCAATGCCATAGGATACATACCCAGCGAGGGGATCGCTGGATCATAACATACCTCTTTTAATTTCTTGAGGAATTTCAGTAGGCTTCCACAGTGGCTGCACATTACATTTCTACCAGTGTGTTACACGAATTGTAATTTCTATATTCGCATCAGGTTTTTTTTTTTTTTTTAATGTTGTCCTAAGAGTTGAGTGATAGCTCACTATAGTTTTGATTTTTATTTTCTTGACAATGATGCTGCATCTTTTTATATACTTGCTGGCCATTTGTATGTTTTCTTGGATAAATACCTGTTCGAGGACTTTTTTTTTCTTATATTGAGGTGCAGTCATTCCTTATATATTCTGGAAATGAATCCGCTATCAGGTATGTGGTTTGCAAGTACTTTCTGCCATTCTGTGGGTTCTTTTTCATCTTGTATATTTGACTTTTTTGCCTGTGCTTCTGTGTTATCCAAGAAATCCCAGCCAGAACCAACAAGAAGCAGCTTTTCTTCTAGGAGTTTTTTTGGGCCCTGTTGCTAAGTGAATTCTTTAATCCATTTTGAGTTGGTTTTGGTGTATGTTGGGGATTTAGTTTCTTTTCTCTCTCTGGACATGCAGTTTTGTTAAGAAATTCTTTCCCCACTGTGTATTCTTGGTTCCCTTGACTGTAGATTGTGGGTTTATTTCTGGAGTGGAGACATAATTCTATGCAACGAAACTTTCTCACATTATTTATACGGGAAAAGGAAGTTAAATACTAAATGATTTTCCTTCGATACCAGTCCAGAACAATGAATTGGTTACCAGCATTCTCAATGTATCAACGTGTATAACTGTTTCTGAGCATCCTTCACTCTTGGTTTTACTGTATCTGATGTGTTTCTTGATATTTTAGTTATTCTTAGTAATGCTTCAACTGTTCCCCTCTGGCCTGTGGTAGCCTGACTTGGCTCCTGTGGTCTGCAAGTCTCCTTGATGTATCTCAAGGTGTCCTAGTTCACCTTCTGCCTGCCCTGCTCCCAACCTAGAATTAGCTATCTGTCGAAGAACCCCTGGAACATGGCTCCCTAAAGCTGGGGCCTAAGGTGCCCACCGCTACCCATCTGTCATGATTTCTGAGCTTTCTGGCTTTCATGCCTTCCCACCCCCTGGGTTATAGGTTTTTTTATTTAATACCTTTAATTTTGTATTTTTCCATCTTTTACATGGAAAATCATACAGCATTATCATAATTCTATATGCTTTGTTTTAAAATAAGTGCATGTTTCAGGCAATAAACTGATGTCATCACTAACTAATGACAAAAACTAAGTATTTTTGAGTAGTTCTTTTGTCCTCTTTACTATTAGGAGCATGCATTATAATTCCCCAAAATAACCTGCCTGATTAAACTACAATTTGACAAAAATTAGATTTTCATTTTCCCTTTGATTCCTTTAGTTATTGCATTTTCCATTTTTAAATTTAATGTTAGAATTCTGTAAGATACTGATTTTGTTCCAATGTCATTATATTATAAAGATCATTTTACAGAAGTCTGATTTCTATCCCACTCCCCCCTCTACCCTGACTGCCCCTCCGCCACATGACCGCTGTGGTCTGAATCTTCATTCTTGACAAGTCTCCCTGGAATTCACAACCTAGAGAATGGTGCTGGGGCTAGGGCCTTTAGGAGACTGCTGGGCCACAGGAACAGAGTGCGCGTGAGTGGGATTAGTCCCTTTATAAAAAGACCCAAGAGGGACCCCTCACTCCTACCATGTGAGGGCACGGTTCCAAACCAGGAAGTGGGTCCTCAGGAGATGCAGGCTGCAGATTTAACACAGGTCAGCCTCTGGACCTGTGAAAAATGAACTGCTGCCATGTATAAACTATGTAGTGTGTGGCATTTTGTTGTAATAGTACTAACTAGGATAGAGGTTGTTGCACTTCAATGGTTCATATTTTTAAAGTAACTTTAAATTTTTAAGAAGCAGGTGTGTGTATCTGAATAACCCTACCCTAACTAAAAAGTAGCATCACTACACACTGTTCTCCTTTCTCTTCCATTCCACCACTGTTTTCTGGAGGTAACGCCTACACTGATCTGTGTGGATGCTGCTCACACCTGAGCAGCTGCACAGAACTGTCTCAGAATCACAGCAGTAGGGATGACTCCATCAGGCCCTGCTGTGGGCCTTTAGGACACTCCCACTATTTTATCCTTACTGATAGGACTATAAGGAAGAGCTTTGTGCATGGCTCTTACATTATGGAGGTTTCTATAAGTGACAGTGTGGGGCAAAGGCAAGTGTACACACTAGATATAATTGTCCACAATTGTAGGTGGAGGACAGATCCATTGGACAAGGATTCTTGCAGGTCCATGTTCTGAGCCAACTTCATCACTGGAGCCGATGGAGTGGCCTGAAAGACCATGTTCTCTTTACTTGAGTCCGGCAAGCCTCGTGGCCTAGTCCTTAGGACCAGTGGTCTTGGGGCCAGGGCTGCACTTCTTTGGCCTTGCACACCCCTTGCAACATCTCGTCCTGGACCTGCACCAGGGTGACCCTTTCACACAGTGTTCACTGAAGAACTGGAGACTAGTATTTTAACAGAACAGGTTCCTAGATGCTCCTGTGTGTATGTTTGATGAGGGCATTTTTATAGCAGGTTTCCACACAATGTGCTTTCAAGGTTACACTCCAGGACAATGAGGCAAGGAGGGCATGTTCGAGTCCTTTCTCCCTCTGAGGGCTGGTGTCCCATGCTTATGGAATGACCACAGTATCCTGAGTATAATCAGGTTCTTATGACATTCACTGAGCCCTAAATTCAATTGTGGTCCCTGGACTATTTCAATTATGGAAGGAGTACATCCTGTTTTTAGCTTTGGCCACTTTTTTGTAACATCTGTGAACAAGAGTCCTGACATCCCAGTTTTTCTTTAATGGTGTCAAGGCTGTAACAGTGATGGGAAATGAGGCAGCACCGTAATCTGTAGTTGCTGCTACTCCCGTGAGAACAGAAACGACACACATGTGAACTCAATTCACGCCATTTATTCGGGATGTGAATTACAGATCACTCACATACACAGCAGTAGACACTGAGAACTAAGGCCATTCTGTGAGTTATTTTTAAAACTTGGTATTCTCCACATAGTGATTGTTTAAAAAATGGATTACCTAAACCAAGATTTTCTCCTGAAATAAAAATTTAAGGTAGGTCCAAGACAACTTTAGGGCCATACTGAATCCGAAGTTCATCGTATAACAGAATCACTTTTGTCTCCTCAGTATAGATAACAGCTCCCAGGAGCCACTGGCTCAGCAATGAGCTGTCTTCTCCCTGTTACAACAGAGAAGTGTTTACCAACCGCAGTGTCCAGAACCGTGGTCCTTCCAGTGGGTAGCAGAGACTTGGGATCACATTGTAGAATTCTTAGAATAGGAAAAAGAAAGGGACCCACAACTAAGGCACTGAAAGCACATTATTTGTATAAAGAAATGTAAACAATTAACACCAACAGGCTCCCTTCATTAGTCTTTATTGTAAGAGTACACAGGGACTTTGCCGCTGGGGTGCTTGAGTCGGGAATGGGAGTTGCCTCCTTGGCTGCCCGTAAATGATTCCTGACATGGCACTAGGGAAGTAATTTCAGAGCAACTCACCTGGAAGCTATTACTGCCTGATGGCCTGCATTCTGAGAGCACAAGAAGAATTTTATCAGGAATTGAAATGATCAGGCTCTTCGAAACATTTAGTTTTCTATATTGTTCTTTGAATTTTAGAAGCACTTTGGCCTGTTTCCTAAGAGAAGTCTGGGCTGAGAACTGTTACTCACCACTACTGCTCTTGGGGGTTTAGATTTTAAGTGCAATGGTTCTTGGTACGAGTAGCTTACATCTGCTATCCTTGAAAGTTTTCCGAATGGGAAACTGGGCAGTTGCACAAAGCGCCCTGTGAGGATGGTGTGAGCCGCAGGCAGGAAGCATGTGCTGGCTGCAGCCAGACTCGCTGCTGCTGGGAGCCCAGGTGTGGCGGGGATGGACGGTGGGGCAGGGCAATTCCTGAGGCCAGTCACAATCACCAGAGTGCCCTTAATGTATACTTAATGTTTCAGTATCCATTTAACATATCCTAAGCTCCAAGCATTAACATCTTACTTTAAATAAAAGTGGACTTTCATGTAACTAAATGTGTATATAAATACAACTTATAATTTTTGGTAAGACTTACTGCTGAAAAGGAACTTATTTGTAATTTTAAAAGCAAGTATAATGTCTACATTCCCAGTTTTATTTATAATTATGAATTTTGGGGAGGTAAAATAAAATCTATAGTTGATCTTAAATAAGTTTACTGCTATTGTAAGAAGAAAAGGTTTCTCATGTTAAAGGTAGCAGAGCTAGAGGCCACTCAATTCAATGCAAGACTAATGAGCCAGGCAGGTTTGCCGGAAGGACGGGCGCTACCTTTAGGGTAGGAAGCAGTTTTTTTCTTTCACCTGGGAAAAATGCAATACTGGTTGAAAAACTATCTGCATTTAAAATAATCCAAGGATGTCTTAAAGAAACTTAAACTAGAAGCCTCTTTCATAAAGCAGAGGGAAGAAAGTTTGTAAAAATAATACCTTTAAAAACCGTGACGTTAAACAGCTGGGTTGGGAGCAGATGTGCACAGTAACTAATTAGTAGTTCCCAGCAGGACTGAAACAGCTTTGAAGAAGTAGTTAAATATGGGTTAGTGCTTTCAGTAGAAAGCACTGGTTAATGCTCTCCCAGAAAAAGCCCTGTGTCAACAGTGTTCTGCCCCAACAAATGCTTTCTCAAAGAATCTGCTAAGCACAGCTCACCGTGTATTTACCTTTCACAGCAATGCATGATTCAACTGTGAGTTTACGGTGGCTGTCAAGCATTAAAGAGCAGGCATTCGTGCCCAAATGACAGTAGGGCAGGAGTAACGCTAACAGGTTTGCTAACAGCTGAAGGCTTCTGTCTTGTGTTTTTAGCAGCCCTGGTCACTAACCCTACTACAAGACCAGAAAAGGGGATGGGTGCAAGGGGGCGCTGCTCCAGTGGGGTGGAAATAATGACCGTATGCTTCTTTGCTAGAGGAGGAGACTGGTGCTGTTGGTTTGCTAAATTTTCCAGCGACTGTGAATGACAAAAATATTTAGTCAAAGAGCTGGTCAGAAGTAGGTTAACTGTTACTCTTGAGAGAGGAAGTCTGGGGATGGAGGATGGAGGCTCCTTGCTACCACTGAAAAGAATTCCTTTTGTGCTATTTTGGTTTTAAGAGTAAAATTTATCAAGGCTACAAGGCTTGAATACTTTAGAATATACCATTACTGCGCTGTCTGCAAACATTTTTGTTATTTTAATGGCAGAAGCTAGATCTCCATGCATATGTGGAAAACACAACTTTCCTTTTTTGGTAGGTTTTAAAGAAATATTTTACAAGACGGTCTGCATTTACAATAACAAAATGTTCTTCTAAGTGTGCCTTTAAAAAGGTATGTGACTGTGTGTATACCATTTTTAAGAGCAAAAGTGTCATCTGCCAACAAGCTGTAGGAACCCCAATTACTAAGCATGCAAGACTGAGTATAAGTGAAGAACTTAAACTCGGTTAATTCCTATCTTTTAAAATTCAGATGAAGGTTTCAAAGTGGAGAGTCTGTGGTTGCTCCCTGAGACATGTGCAGGGGTGAGTTCCATGAGAGGAGAGGGCACAGGTGGTCCCCTGACAACTGGGTTAGCACAAGATACTAGTCGCAGGGCTTTCTGTCAAAATGCCCCATCAGGTGGGGATCAGCAAGTGCTGCTTTCTGGCCTTGAGGAAGGACGGGATGCGTCTGGTTGGTGCACAGATGATGCGGGCAGTGCTCACTGAGGATGCCCACTTGCCTGCAGTGGAGAGCAGGGCAGGCACACACTGAGACTGCTGGGCCAGCGCTCAGAAGTTCAGCCTGCCTCTGGTCTGGGGGTCAGTCAGGAAAGAGGACTGGGCCTCTGGACAAACTAGTGTGGACTCTGTTACAAATAGTCTGATAACACTCAGATCCAAGTTATCTCACATCGATTGATCCCTGCTATATACGCAGCATCAAAATTACATTCAGAGGTTTAAAAAAAATTGTAGCAATATTTTTTCCACAAAATTAAGTGCAAAATATCTTTAACAAATAATTACATTAAGAAATATTTGACATAGTCATGCAAAAATGCATCTTAGTTTAGAAAGACGTAGAACATTTCCAAAATATCCCCTAAGTTTTACATTGTGAACCTTACCATCTTACTCATTTTTCTTTGAGTTTAGATGTGATTGCTTATGTAAAAAACGGTAACATGCAAGTTCGATGATTTCCAGTCCACCAAATATCCTCTCTTGTAGCACAAAGATTATAACGGTGATTATGAAGTACCACCGAACAAGACTATACAAATATATGAGCAGGCACATGGCAGGGCTGAACAGGGTCCAGTACAGGATGGACAGCAGTTTGACCACAAGGACCCTGAACTCAGACTTGCAAGGGGGGATCACACTCTGCCCGGTGAAATAGAAGTTCTTCTTGCCTTGGTAGAAGGAACGCAGCCTTTCCTCCTTCTCTGCCCAGCGCTTGTGGCACCAGAGCTGCAGGTCGTCCTTGGACGTGGGGAGGGTGGCCACGGGATAGCGGTGGACGTGAAAGTGGATTTCCTTGGGGAAGTTTCCGTGGAGGAGGTGCTTCTCGGTTTGAGGAATGTTGTGAGGATATGCCACAGTGATGTCGTGGACGGCATCAAGGTTTTTACCTAGGTTGTGAAAAGATAAAGATATCCAGGCTAGCAGTGATCGGTTAGGGAGGTGTTGCTGACTCATGTTGCAAAGCAGAACCAAAAACTGAAAAACGAGGACAGAGTGAACCATGATAACAACAGCGCTCTAAACATAGTACTATGTTCCTGGCACTGGGGTCAGTATTTACCAATCATCCCCGCTGGCCCAGGGGCTGTTGGCTAATTACTGCAGAGGCCTTCAGAAAGAATGATCTCCATTCCCTGAAACCATAATAATCCATTCGTGAGCTAAAGGAGTAAGCACGTTAAAACGAGTAAGCACATGAGGTCCAACCTACGGTGGGAATTAAGGACTAGAGCACCAGTCCTCTACCTCCAGGTTTCACTGCTGTGACACCGCTCAGTAATATACTCATCTCTCAAACAAACTGCCTTTCTCACCTTTCATATTACCACGTTAGCTACAGAAAATTTCAGAATCAGACTTGAATAGCTGGCCAGAAACACATGGACTACTTTTTAAAAAAATTTTTTAAAAATCAACTTGAACCGCAAGTAAGACTGACTGACCTTGAGGTATCATCCTCCTGAATAATTTAAATTGGGGCCTGTTTGCAGGGCTCGTATGCACAAGCTGGAGATGGAGATACGATCAGAACAGGGCTCTGACGTCTCCTGAGATCCCTGGGTGTACAGCATTTTGTAATCCCAGCTCTCTGGAAGGTGAGTGAAGCTGGAGGACTGAAAGCTGAAACCTAGCCGGAGCAACAGGCTCACAGAATACCAAAATAAAAAGTAAGAAATGCCTAGGAATGTAGCTCATTGTGCTCTCTTGTGAAGCAGTTCTGGACATCCCCTTTCACGAGTGTCTTTACGTGCATTGTTTGTGGTTGCCTCAGTGTTCTGAATTGATTCAAAATGTTTCTGACTTTGGGGAAGAGCCAGATGGAGCAGGACAAGCAGTAATGCTTTCATTTGATAGAAACTGTCACAAACAACAGGTTCAGTGTTAACCCAGCCACAGAGCGACGTGGAAGCGGGACTCTCAGCAGAGGTTTCAGAAGGCGGCAAGAACGACGGGTAATGTTTGAAGCGAGGGGACTATGCTGAGGGGGATGGACGCTAATCTGTCTTTTACTGTAACACTTTTAAAATTCTCATTCAAGCATTCACCAGACGTCCTGATCACACGTCACAGTGTCTCTCTCGGATGTGCTCCGCCTCACTGCCGCCCCACAGTGCACCTCCATGATCTTCCCACCCTGGCGCCAACTGATCACAGATAGAAACTTTTCAAACTGTGAGCCAAATAAACCGTTTCTCCATTCAGTTCCGTATGTCAGACACTGTGTCCCAGCAATGAAACAGTGACTAATCGGGAGGTGAGGAGTAGAAAGGAGTGAAGGAGCTCGTTTTGGATTGGGATGCTGAGCAGCCAGCGGGCCTTTGAGACTGGAAGTGTGGCTGCAGTGTCAGACCTGGAGGACGGTGGGGGTCACTTAATGGGACCCTATACGCAAGGATCAGTTTTGCCCAGGGGCACAGAACTTGGCGCACAGTCTCTGAACGTTGCTGTCTTCTATATGCTGTTATTTTCACCCAGACGTTTGATGAGGACTTCAGTTTCTCACAGAACTTGTTGGTACAGACAAGACTAATTTGTGGTGACAGAAATAAGAATAGTCGTTGCCTGTGGAGGTGGGAAGAGCCTGGGAAGGGAGTATGAAGACATTTTTTGAAGTGACAAACACTGGATTAAAAGTGGATTGCATGACGCTTACATTTGTCAGAATCCTCAGTGATTACACGGGGGAACATGCCACATCCCTGGAAGGGTTAACTGTTAACTCCCCTGCCGTAACAGACTTTTTTACAGCACGAATCAACACTACCCTACACGTAACAGACCAGGCTCTCCCTGACTATGAGCCCGTGCACTGCCGCCCTCCACAGCCAGATCCTCTCGGTGGCTGCCTCACCTCGGCTCCATCCTCTTCACTCATGATGAGAAAACGTCTGTCGGGGTTTCCTACCAATTCAGAGCTATGTTCACAGGCCGTTTACTTTCACAATGACTCTGCAACCAGAGTCTCCACTTCTGTGCTTGGCACCCAGCACTTCTCCTCAACTGGGACTTACTGGCTGTCATCCGCTCGCAGCCGGGAGGCATCTACCTCACGTGTGCAGCTCCTCCTCTGCTCACTCTCTGCCACTCTGACATCCAACTGAGAATCCTGTGCCTGGGTCTCAATCTGATCTTGAAATAGTCATGTGTTCCAGGCTTTCTCTACATGTGGTTTGTAATGCTTGACAGTCATTTGCCCTACGATGCTATCAGACATTGCTATCAAACAGTAACAAAAAAGAAATCTCTAGCATAGTGAAAAGAAAACCCACAAACTGGGAAAAAAAAATCTTAGTGAACTGTCCCTCAGACAAAGGACGTCTGTCTAAAACATATAAAGAATTAAAATTCAAGGATCCAATCCAAAAATGGACACTTCAGATGAATACACAATTCTCAGATGAAGAAATACAAACAGCAAACAAGTATGTGGAAAAAAGTTCATCACTGGCCATTTGATAGATGCAAATTAAAACAACACTGAGATTCCCTCTCACTCCAGAAAGAATAGCCAGGATCAAAAAAACTCCCAACAAATTCTAGAGAGGCTGTGGGGAAAAAGGAACTCTCCTGCACTTTGGTGTGAGTGTGGACTGGTGCAACCACTGTGGAGGTCGGTCTGGAGATTCCCCAAAAAGCTGGCATTGGAAGTCCCATTCGACCCAGCTATTCCACTTCTAGGCATATTCCCAGAAGAACTGAAAACATACCACAGTGATATATGTGTACCCATGTTTATAGCAGCACAATTTGTAATAGGTCTTGGAAACAACCTAAGTGTTCATCAATATGAGGAATGGATAAAAAAGTTGTGGTATTTTATACAATGGAGTACTATTCAGCCATAAAGAAGGATCACATTAAGATATTTATATCTCAATAAATGGACACAGCTTGAGACCATATTCATAAGCGAAATAAATCAGACTCACATGTGTAAATACCGTATAGTCTCCCTAGTGTAAGAAATGGTAAGAATACATAAAAGCATATAGTAATCATGAATCCCCATTATATTGTTTTGAAGACTTATAATGTTTTCATTCATTAGCTGGAATGATTTTATTCTGAGTTGTTTGATTTTATTGTCTGTGATGGTATGAACAGCTATTCTGAAGAAAACAAGACATTATAATAGCCAGAGCTGATTTAGTATCTTACTTTGAAGTCCCACCAAGCTTTTGTTCTTCTGTCTTCATCAGTTTTATCATGTTGTATCTTATTGGATTTCATTATGTGTGATAAACAATTTTTTATGGACAAAGAGATAATATAATAACCATTGTTCATTTTCTGTTATTTGGTTCTGAATACCCTGTAATACTTTCATTCTCTTGAATGGTTTTATACTATTTTGTTATGTTTGATACTATAGTGTATGAAGGAATACTCAAATATTTCAAGGAAAGAGACACTATGGTAGCTACTGTTATGTCCAGTTGTCTTGTGGTGAAACACTATGTTGCTTAAATTATTCTGTTCTGATCTGTTTTGTTATGTCCTCTTTTATCTTAATCTTTTTAAAATAAACAGTAACAAAAGTTACCAGGTTTATTAGTAACTGGATTTGCTGCTTGCTTCTTGTTTCTCTTGACAACCCACAGATCAAAGGTGTGTATGTGCCTGTTCCTTGTCTGTAGTGTAGTGTTCCTTGTCTAGTATTTAGCAAGTCTTGGGACAACGATGGCACCACTGACAGGGTCTTTCCCAAGGTGCAGAGCACAGGGGCTGTGGAGGCGACCAAATCCCAGCCAGCCTCTTGAGTGCAGTCCCTAATCTCTCTGTGGCTTACTTGGTTCTTTGTACCTCAATGCATAGCTGAAGGTTAAACGACATAATATACATCACACGCACCACTGCAAGTGCCCAGTGGATACCAGTGGCTGGATCATGGCTCATCTCACTACTAGGCAGCCTCAAACCTTCCTCCACAGGGTTCCCACAGCTCACCGGGGCCAGTGGGAAACACTGCATTTGAATTCCCTCTCTATGCTGCTGCTTGCCTAGCCAAGCATTACTTGTCTAGGCCTTGAAGATGCCAACAGACACCTCCTGATTTTACTTTTCCACTCAAGATAAATGGTTTTTATAAAATTGCAAAAAAAAATTCCTTTGGCTTCAGGTTTGTGTTTTTCCCTTGAACATTGATCATAAGTTTCTTCAATGATTAGCTTGAATATTAGCGTGTCAAGAAGGGCTCCTCGCCTGCTCTGAGGTTACACACATGTGCTGACAGCTCATTCAGCCTTTGTCTCCCAGTGCGAGGGGAAGCCAGGAGCACGTCTCTGCCTCCTCAGCACCTCGCAAAATGCCCAGCACCAGAGACCTTCCAGAAACGGGTCTGGTCTTCCTGCACCACCATGGCACATGGGTTTAACCTTAGCATCTACTGCTGTGCTTCTGTACTCCAAATTATTTGAACCATGGTATTTTTTTTTACACTGGGGTTCTATGGCTGATAGGATGACAATCTCAGGATAGTCACTTTACAGAAGGGTACTATCCCTAAAGTTTCTTATAAACTGTTTGTTTGAAGCACACTGCTTTATATGGTACTTCCGTATAATTAAAACACTCCGTATGTATCTGATAAGGAATGCAGAACAGCATTACAGAAAGAAAAAAGACAACAAGCAGGGAGCTGGTGGTACAGCCACACTCTGAGGCTTCCTTTCTAGGGCTGTGCTGGCAGCTTACCCTTTCCTCACAGAGACTCCCAAGGCCCAGCGACCCATTTTGGAACTCCCGTAACACTGGAATATAATGAAATGTGTTCTCCTTAAATTCTTGTCCCTTGAATTTTTCTAGGTAACATATATGGATTTCATACAAAATCTTTTAAAAATTCAGCCTCTGGGTTAATAAAATGGGAGAAGTCCTACCTGTGGAA